TTGGCACCGCGGATAATCCTACTGATATATTCACGAAGCCGGTTCCACATGGCAAGTTCCAACATTGCTTGGACTTGCTGAATGTCTTGAGTGGGTGACTCCGCCCTACGGGGCATTGATGGAGGGAGAGAGAGAAAGAAGGAGCAGAGTGCATAAAAAATTTCAGAGGAACATGATTCAAGTCAAGGTGGAGATTTGTTAATGTGACTTGAATCGAACTATCAGCCGCTACGACTGGATTAGTCGGGGGTCTCGTTGCCCGGTTAGCGAGTGGAGTCCAGGGGCAACGCCCCGGTGGGTGTGCGGGGGCAACCGTTTCCTTTGCTAGATTGGATTAGGTTTAGACCCACATGGAGAAGTACTATAAATACTTCACATACTCCTCTGTAATATGTAATCTCATCGATATAGTAAAACTGGCTCTCTCTCATCCGTGGACGTAGCTAACACACATCGTGTTAGTGAACCACGTAAATCGTGTGTCGTGTTTTCGATTCTCGCTTTCGTATTCTTGCTTTGTCGATTCCATCAGTTTCCCGATCCGTAGCAGCGCGTTTATAACACGATGTCCCCTGGAATTATGTCTCTGCATAAATGGAGATACAGTGTCATCCCCAGTTGTTTTTTTACCATTTCATCGGGGGTGAAAGCTACAGAGCTTGCTGAAAATGGAGGGATTTTGTGCAGTTGCTAGCAAACTCCTCTATGGTATTCTTCCCAATTGCTGGTGGTTTAGACCAAAAGGAGAAATATCTGAAACGTGCACCTAATGTGAACTCGAGAAACTGACACCACTTGCTTTCTGAGAGCAGGATTAAAAAGCCGAAGATCTTTGGATTCGCATTTGCCCACCACATAAAGTGAACATAGGGGCATGGCCTTGTTTGTTTCGTGGGGTAGGAGTAGGACTTAATGAGGCGACATCATTAATTTATATATTATATTAATATTGTTCATGATCTCAATTATTAATTCTTCTTTATTAATATTGACATTGTGTTGATTTTATATTTCATATTTACATTTTTAATTTTGTTAAAGAACTTAGTGTTCAAGTGACGTTCATGTTTCAATTTTATAATTTTTTTTTAATACATAATATCACGTGAGTTTTATATTTTTTAAATTTCCTATACAAAATGAAATATAAATTTTACCTAAGTTTAGAATGAAAAATTTATTTCGAAAAACTATGCATTGTATAATATAATAATTATTCAAGTGGATTAGATGAAGTTCGGGTTGAGTCGGTCGGGTTACTTGTTAGTAAGGTTCGGGTTAATCGAGTTCGGGTTTTATCGGGTTTCGGGTCAATCGGGTTCGGGTTAATCGGGTTGCGGGTCAGTCAGGTTGCGGGTTAGTTGGGTTGCGGGTCAATCGGGTTGCGAGTCGAGCGATTTACAGGTTGTTGACTTTTAGTCAATTTAAGTTGCGGTCGGGTTGCTGGTCGGGTTAATCGGGTGGGTTAATCGGGGTGGGTTCTGTTTTGACACCTATAATTCTCACTATACTGGATGATAATTATGGAGAAAGAAAGGATTGGTGGGGTTAGGGTTCTAATTTTCCTTTTCCTTTTCCTTTTCCTTATTAACTATTAATATTAATTATATTTTCATAATATCCTATTTAGTATTTACCCTCAACCCCTATTAACTATCTAAATTCCTAGCCAAAAGAAATGCTTAAGCATGGAATGTCTAGCTTGGTTGAGTTGAGAGACGACCCCTTCTCCCTTCCTCTCACATAAGCGAGCCACTTTATTTGGGTCTTCGAATTGCAGCATCATATACGGGGCACTCATCCTCACCGTATGAACACATGTTTACAATATATGTGTAATGGTTCGGTGCGGTCCAGACTCTCACGCGATCCATTATTGAAAGAAATTTTAGGATTAAGGACCGAACAATCATTGCGTTCGGTCCATTTGATCTGGTCCAAATATTGTCTCAATCCATTATTTTTTTAGTAATTGTAAAATTCATGTCGACCAAGGATCGGACCGCATTATACTAGGTCCGGTGCGGTCCAGTTCGGACCATTGAACAATCCTAATGAGCACCAATAGGGGTGTGCAATGGTCCGATCCAGGATCGGATCGCACGGACCAAACCAAAGTTTGGACCTAACCACCAGACCAGACCGAGTATAATGCGGTCTGGTCCTTGGTCCACATGAATTTTACAATTACTGAAAAAATGATGGACCGAATATTTGGACCCGACCAAATGGACCGAACGCAATAATAGCTTGATCCTTAGTCCTTGGTTCTAAGATGTCTTTCACTAATAAGCCGCGATTTTCATGAGTTTGGTCTGGTCCGGATTGGACCGAACCGTTGCAAAGCATCATAACCAGGTTGAGCCGATAGTCATTTGATTTTTTTTTTTTTTTTTTTTTTTTTTTTTTTTTTTTTTTTTGTTGCTCAGTCATTTGAAACTATCGGAGGAAACAGTTTAGACTTTAGATGCGGTAACAAATCACAATGAATCATACAGTTATTTATTTTTTGCTTTCCTTCGACCGTTCTAATTTTTCTCAGCGTCTAAACAGCTTCCTCCGAACTTCAATTTCCTCCATATCCATCCCTAACTAAGTAGCTGTATATGTATGTTAGAGACGAGCACGATACAAATGAAGAATTGGGTTGGATAGTAATATCTCAACTCATTTCAACTTTCCCGCGATACATAACGCTCGGATGTAGCCTCCATTCTGAGTCTCCAATGGCTGGCTTGTTTAAGGTCTCAACAAGGGTTCAAGGTTCCGTCCCAAACCTGTGATTCAGCCAGAAGAAGTTGCTCTCAATGAGGCATCAGAAAATTCTGAGGGCTCGTTGATTGGCGCCCTAAATCTGTCGTCTAAGATAAGGATTTCCTGCTTTTAATCCGCTTTAGTGGGGAATGAACTGAATTTGATTGGTATGAATATTTCCTTTTGCTTTAATTGAAGCTACTTGTCCCCTGGTTGAGCTTACTTACTGTGTATGAAACGGCATGTCTTCTGACTGTATTCGACTCGATTATGCCGAAGGAAGATTTCTTTTAAGGATTTTCCTCAGGGGGAATAAATATCCAAATACTAAAGGTGGTAGGTCTCCTTTGCTTGCTCGTGGAGAGTTATATTACATTCATGTCGTCAAGGTGTTTGGTTAAGTGCGGCTAAGGAACGTATGCGAACTGTAAGAGATTTCTCGTGTTTGTGTAAGTATATGTGTGTTCTCCTCTCCGGTTTGGGGGGCGGTGCTTGGAAATCAGAGCTATATGCATTTTCTTAAGCAGAGCGATGTCTTCTGATTTTATAAGTTTTTAGTCTTTTTGGTATACATATTTGTTCCTAACGATAGTTACTTCTGTAGGATATAGGGCACTGAGGATGTAGCTGGTGTCTCAAGGACACTGATCTACACTAAAGCATTTCGTTTGCTACCAGTTTTATTCAATTGATTACATCTGGGCTTGATGCTGTTGTTATTCATTGATTCTGAATGGTTGTTTTTTTATGAATTGATGCTGAAATTTTATTCATCTTAACTGTGGAGGGTCTATAAGAAATGGACTAGCTCCTAATGATTACACAAAGAAAAATGAAAGAAAAACCAGAACTATAAAATCAAAATTTCATGGAGGCTAAAAAGAGGGGTGAGTGTTACGACCAAATAGCATTGTATGAAGTGCTTGAATTTCGTTGCCAGAGACCTCTTTGTGGAAAGCTGCCCATTCACAGATTGAGTAGCTAATTTTTTGCAGTTGTAGTGGTTATATTTTCTTTCTTGTCTTTGAAAATTCTTGCATTCCTTTCAATCCACAGAGTCTAGAAGGTGGCTAGAGGCAACAATTGTAGCGATTTTTTGAAGCCACAGCCGCAAGTTAGATGCTTCCATTCAGTGAGTAGGTCACTGCATAGGCGAGGGAGGGGACCGTGCAGTTGCAATCGAATAAGGAAGTTTGCCCATATTTCTGAAGAGAATGAGCAGTGGAGAAGATGTTCAGTAGTGTCCTCCGCGTCAAAACAAAAACAACAGTGATTAGGGATTGAGCAACCTCGCAGCCTAAGTTTGTCTATAGTGAGAATTTTCCTTTGATAAACAAGCCAACTGAATGCTGAAATCTTTTTAGGAGCAGCTGAGTTCCAGATTGTACCCGCTGGGAATGTGTTTCTCAGGCCTTGAAATACTTCTTTTGTTAGTGATGAATAGCAATCACTTACAGGTAATTTGTTCCTGGGAAGTAGACAAAGAGGCCTATCACCTGGACCTTGTAGCCAAGTGATAGGGATAGAAGTCAAGAGTTGATTGAAGATCTGGTATTTCTGCAGGATACTGCTCCTGAACGTGTACCTGAATTGCACATTCCAGTGGATGATGGAACCTTCAGTTTGATAAGACTATGACAGTAGAAGGTTTTGATGAGAAGCGGCAGCATAAAGCTCAGGATAGCTTTCCACAAGTGTGCGACGTGGTATCCACCTGTCTTTCCAAAATGAAATTGTCATTCCAGAGCCCAGTTCAATTTCTGCATCTTTCCAGAAGTGGGAGGACACCTTGATTATGCGTCGCCAAATAGAGAGTCCCATTCGACCTGTATGAACATCAAAGTTCCAGCAATGTTGTGGATAATCAAACTTGATGGTGATGAGAGATTTCCACCATGAGTGCTCCTCGTCCAAGAATCTCGAGAGCCATTTTGCTAATAGGGATATGTTGAAATAATGCAAGTTCTTAATAACAAGTCCTCCTGATAATTTATCTGCTTTGACTGAGTTCCAAGAGATTAAGTGAATTTTGTGATCATCTTCTGCACCAGACCACAGGAATCTTTTCATAATCTGCTCTTACTTGTTTGTTATAGAAATTGGTGCCAAGAGTAGTGAGAAGTAGTAGAGTGGTAAAGCAGATAGGATGGACCTCAAGAGAATAATACGACCAGCGAGGGAGAGGAGTTCTCCCTTCCATGTGGAGAGTCGGCGGGTCATGCAGTCAATGATAGGGGTCCATGTACTTATGATTGATGTGCACCGAGAGGCAACCCCAAATAGACTGTAGGAAGACAGCCTAGTTTGCACCCCAAGATGGATGCTAAGTGAGAGGCGTTGTTGACGTCGCCATCTGGAAGGATTTCTGATATTGTCAAGTTAATCTCCAAGTCGGGGATAACCTCAAAGCAAGAAAGTGCAGCTTGTATGTGTAGAACTTCAGAAATGCTGGTTTCGCAAAATAGAAGAGTATCGTCTGCAAATAACAAGTGGGTGACTTGGCCTGTCTGATTAGCTTGATTTATGTAGTATCCTGATATGCACCGAGCTTCCTTCAATTTGTCGAGGATAAGGGAGAGACCTTCCATGACAATTAGAAATAGAAGGGGAGAAAGAGGGTCGCCTTGTCGAAGCCCTCTGTAGCTTCTAAAGTAACCTGTGGACTAGCCGTTGAGTAGTACAGATAGGTGGGCTGTAGAGATAGTCGTTTTGATCCAAGAAAGCCATTTTCCCCAAAACCCATCCTGCAGATACAATGTAGAAGAAAGTTCCAGTTTACATGGTCAAAAATAATTCTATATCGAGCTTAAGAAGAATATCCAGACGACCGCATTTTATTCGTGTGTCAATCAGCTCAATTGCGATAAGAGCAGCGTCCATGATCTGCTGACCGTGAATGAAAGCCATTTGTGATTCTGAGATGAGGGTACTCATGTGCGTTTTCAACCGGATCATAAGCAGCTTGACCAAGATTTTATAGAAACTCCCAACCAGACTAATTGGCCGAATATCTTTGATATCTTCGACATAGGCACTAATGCAATGAACGTAATGTTGATAGAGGATGGGAGTGTACTTGATTGCTGAAAGTGGAGCAGAGCTGTGAGAAGGTCTTTCTTTAGTGTTTCCCATGAAGTTTTATAAAAGTTGAGGTTGAAACCATCGTTCCCGGGAGCCTTGTCTCCTTCAAAACTGTTAATTGCGCTCCAAACTTCTTGCTCAGTAAAGTCTTGCTCAAGGTTAACTGCAGCAGTAGAACTTATAGCTTTAAAGTCAATGTTTGCGGGGATTGGCCTTTTCTCAAGTGGTTCTAAGAAGAGGTTGTTGTAGAAGGAGACAATCTCATTTCCCATCTCTCTTTGACCTGAAAACAGATTGAAATCTTCGTAATGAAAACAATCACTATATTACTCAGATATTTTGAAGAGCTTAATCTTTCTTTTGTTTGATTTTGCTTACATTAACCTATGAATTTTCAGAATGATGCTGCCCACAGGCCTACCCTTCAAGATGCTTCAAAGGTGTTGCATCCATATGATAGGGCCTGTGAAACTGTATTGGTAAAGGAATCCAATTTTCTATCTGTTGACATGGCCCTTGTTATTAGGCTTCCCTTCCTCAGTAGAAAGATCAATTTGGAACATTGGCTCAACCAACTGCTAGATCTAAAGTTTGTTAGAACTTGTTGTTGGCTTGTGTATTCCTTTGGTAAAACCCATTTCACTTTTTCTAGTTTGGGCAACATGACTAGTGATTTGTTGCCATTGTATACGTACGATTCTCATTCTGCATATTTTAAAGTTTCTCACCTTTAACTCTCTCTCATTTAACTGAGTTTCTTGTTTTCCGACATGAACCTGCAATCAATTGAGTCTGGCTGGTTACCTGGGGATATTCTGGATGATATGTCATGCAAGTATACCAATTGAACTCTTGTTTGTGAAATGGGTGTGTTTCCTGGGTATATTAAGTCTGTTCCAACATCCATGTATCTACCATGTAATGAAAAGTTGACATATCGCTGAGTGTCTCCCGAATGGTGACATTTTCTACGGGTGCAAGATTATCGAAAGTGCTACTTAGCAAGGTTCTGGTATGCCCCTTAAGATGTTATTGGAAAATGTGGTGAGGGATATCCCTCTGATTTCGGATAACTCCTGGACCTATCGCGATCTGATGGTAATGTTATGTTCTTATTCTTCCTACTTCCTGTAAAATATCTGCAACCATTAGGTCTTAGTTTTTGTTTCTACTTGTGGTTTTAGGAAGACAGTTCTAGGATAGTGAAGGCTCTGCCGCCGATACTTTCCTTGATCCCACACCAAAACTGGATAGGCTCTCCACCATCCCTCTTCTTCCCGGGTAATAAAAAATGTGAATCCATATGTTCTACTGCAGGAATGTATAAAATTTTATTTATTAATTATTGCAACTCATACTTGCTGCTGACAAATGTAACTGTGATGTATACTAACAGACTCCGTGGAAGAAAGTTTGCATAAATCAAGTCACAGGAAGCTCCAACAGCAGATTTGCCGAGTTAGGCCAGATAATGCAGAGCATCATGTCCATGAAAATCTGACGGCTATCTTGGTCCAGGCAGTATGCTAGGTGTGGGGGCAAGGAGCTATCAAGATGACAATGTTCAGCAATAACTTAAGTTTCTCATCAACAAAGGTATCAAGGACAAGCTGCAGTTGGAGATCCTAGGGGCATTCGAGATCACTGCTCAGCACTCAACAGGGTGAGACACAACAGCCACAAATGGATAATCTTCGAACATCTTATATGAACTGGAGGAACTCGTTGCTTTAGCAGCAAGTAATGGCCAGATGAATGAGTACCGTAATAATGTCGGGATCCAAACGAATCCCACAAACCTTTGAAGGGTTCATGAATCGGAGATTTTGTGCGACAGAATAGCAGGTTTATCTGGAAAAGCTCGATGAAGCATCTCAGCTCAGTCAGAGTATCAGCTATCTCATGCAGGAAATGTTGTTGCTTATGTCCCCAAAGCACGTGCAAGAATGGTCTTGATGGAAAAGTCGAAGATGGTACTGTGGCTATGCGTTTTGGTGACCTGGATTATGGCAATATTCTCTGCTGAGGAGTACCTTCCAACCTTCCCTAAGATAGTAAGTCTGTTAGTCGATAAGGGCTTTTGTGTGCTTTCCTTCATACCTTGCTAGCATCTTGAATGCCCAATCATAACCTATAACTAGTTCAGAACTCAGATTCTTTTATCGTCAAATGTTCAGAACAATCATTTTCACTAGGTTTAATTTCTTAGTTGCTGTTTGTATGTTAGTTCAGTAGGCTATATCTTGCTGTTTTTGCCCTCTTTTCAGGATTTGACAGACTGCATATTTCTAGGTTAAATTGAACCTGAGTATTTCATTTTTCTTTCTCTTAGATGTCAGGTGCAATAATACAATTAAAGGAAGGTGGAAAACCAGAGAAGAATTGGCATGATGAAGTGGTTTTTAGATCAAAGATTAGAAACCAAAGGGGAAGTAAGTGTTTTTCGGTAATTGCTGTTTTATTAAGCTCTGGTAATTGCTTGGTTGAACATCAACCAACCTTCTCTATAAACTTCATCTGCAACAGCAGTATGGACATTCTTACAACCTACTACTACTAGTGCTCTAGTTACCTCGCTATATTCATCACATTCTGCATCACAAAGTGCATATCTATCTTTATTTATAACTCCCCGCTCTTTTAACTTGTCATTTGTATTGAGTCTATCCCGTATTGCCAACCACATTATCAACATGTGTTTAGGGACTAAAGCTTGAAGTAAGTGTTAAACTAATTTGTCACCTTGAATCAAATGATTAGCTTGTATAAGTTTGACACCTTGAAAATGGTGGAAAAAGGCTGAGGTTGTTGGGCAGTATGTCCAATATATATTGGGTTCCATTTTTGTGTTTTAGATATCTATTGGGCAATTTCGGTTGCAGCAGCGGTTGAAGGATGGATTAATATTGTCAGCAATCTGAAAAAAAACATCCGAGAAGGACCATCGAGTCCGGGCGTCCTCGCAAGAGCTTGTAGACTTCTGTGTAACCGATGCAATGTTGGAGAATAAAGATCTGTCATTGAAACGAATGGAGCAAGTGTGGAGGCACATACACGGTTCCGGTGTTTGTCAATCGAAGTACTATCCCTGGGCTGGTGGGCTGGGTTCTAAGAAAATGGTCAGAAAGAAAACGGATAGGAGGGTAATTAATCATCTAAGCCTCCGGTAGAAGTTGAAATGCCCTATCTAACTTTAGGAAATTTAGTAGGTTGCTGAACTTGCTCTTGTGTTGAATCTTTTTGGTTCTGTAGAAAATGCCTCAAGAAAAGCTTCTGAGGATAACAAAATTTTGTTCTTCTCAATCATTTCTTTGGTTACGCAAAAGTCTACCAGCTCTTGCGCGGAAGCCCGAACTCGATGGTCCTTCTCGGATGTTTTTTTTTCCAGATCGCTGACAATATTAATCCATCCCTCAACCGCTGCTGCAATCGAAATTGCCTAACAGATATCTGAAACACAAAAATGGAACTTAATATATATTGAACATACTGCGCAGCAACCTCAGCTTTCTTCCCACCATTTTCAAGGTGTCAAACTTATACAAGTTAATCATTTGATTCAAGGTGACAAACTAGTAGTTTAAAACTTACTTCAAGCTTTAGTCCCTTAACACATGCTCCTAAACACATGCTGATAGTGTGGTTGGCAATACGGGATAGACTCAATACAAAAGACAAGTTAAGAGCGGGGAGTTATAAATGAAGATAGGTATGCACTTTGTGATGCAGAATGTGATGAATATAGCGAGGTAACTAGAGCACTAGTAGGTTGTAAGAATGTACATACTGTTGTTGCAGATGAAGTTTATAGAGAAGGTTGGTTGATGTTCAACCAAGCAATTATCAGAGCTTAATAAAACAGCAATTACCGAAAAACACTTACTTCACCTTTGGTTTCTGATCTTTGATCTAAAAACCCCTTCATCATGCCAATTCTTCTCTAGTTTTCCACCTTTCTTTACTTGTATTATCGCACCTGACATCTAAGAAAAAGAAAGATGAAATACTCAGGTTCAATTTAACCTAGAAATATGCAGTCTGTCAAATCCTGAAAAGAGGGCAAAAACAACACGATATAGCCTACTTAACTAACATACAAACAGCAGCTAAGAAATTAAACCTAGTGAAAATGATTGTTCTGAACATTTGACGATAAAGGAATCTGAGTTCTAAACCAGTTATAGGTTATGACTGGGCATTCAAGATGCTAGAAAGGTACGAAGGAAAGCACACAGAAACCCTTATCGACTAACAAACTTGCCATCTTAGAGAAGGTTGGAAGGTACTCCTCAGCAGAGAAAATATTGCCATCATCAAGGTCATCATAACGCATAGCCGCAGTATCCCTCTTCCCCTGTTTGGGCGGCTGCTGTTGCTCTCTCCCTCTCTTTTCTACCTATCAAGTATGAAAACAGAAAAGCAACCAAGAAGAGTGAAAAGAACGTCCAAGCAAGAAGTCTCGCTATTGCGGCTGGCTGACTCTGGCTCTGGCTCTCTCTCTCTACCTCTCTCTCTACCTATCTCTCTCTCTATATCTCTCTCTGTGAATATAGGAAATGCCGCTAAGTATTGGGAGAAATTCTTCACTGTTTTGTTTTAAGGGGTTGGCGACCCACCCACCCGGTTTGTTTAACATGCACCAAACAAATTTGGGTCCGATAATGTCATGTACCCTACCTTAACAATAGCCTTTAATCAACAAATTTTAATTGCTAATGCTATTCTAATATGATCATAGAGCTTAGAGCTACAAGTTTTATCCTAAGTCTTACACCATGAACCGTAAATTCTAGATTTAAGTCCTAATCCTAAACCGATCAGCTCTAAACCCTTACCATACAAGTAAATCCTATGTGAATTTCAAGCAACTTCATCGATGTTTCTTGTTCATCGTATTACAATTAGATGCCGCAATTTCATACTCAATCCACCAATCCAATCCATACACTTAAGTATTCAACTAATCCAATCAATGTAAATACAATTCAATTAATCCAAATTCAAATCGTTGGAAAATCACACTTAAGTACCTACATTTTTATATTTTACAATTTGATACCTGGAATTTAATTTTTAAACAAAAATCAGTATTGGAAATTACGTTTTGGTCCCTGAATTTTTTATCATGACATGTTATCGTCTAAATTTTTTAAAATTTACATATTGGTCCAATGTTCACAAGAAAGAAACATGGATCCATAGTCCGACACAGATCTATTTGATCCAATCCTAGAAATATATATTGGGTGTATATCCTTGGAATTAGAGTCAGACTACTGAACCGATCGTCTATGTAAAATATTTACGAAATTATGAATCTACGTTTGAGACAGAAACGTGAGAACTAAGGCACCACACCAGCAATGGAGTCAAGGGAGAGTAGAGGGTCCTGGGACGGGATTCTTACGAGCACGAGAGAGAGTCGGGGGCTCGACAAAGGGATTTAGATAGAGATATGAATGGATTCGCCGGTGCCGAGGTTCCCATGAGAGATAGACAAGGAGAGGAAATTTCGCAGGCTGGCGACGGGGTTGCAGCATAAAAAAACTACAAAATTGTGTGTGATGGATTTACAATCTGTCTAGAAGATGAAGAAGTGCAAGTTTAAAAAAGAAGAGTACCTGCTTCTTGTACAAGGATCCAAGGCAAGTAGCTTCTACTTCCGGTTGAACAAACGAGCATCCTTACAGGAACTACCTAGCTTGGTAGTTCTGGGATTGGCATTACAGATGATAAATGAGAAGCCATAGTGGTTTGGAATCTCCGTGCGTAATATACTAGTAGCAATAGTGGTGCTTCCAAGAGAATCGACCGAACTTAACTGATTCGAATGCTCAAACCTTCCATCTGTACCAAGTCCAGGATATGCACTGCTTAGAGATAATTTTGTGCTTAACCGGAAGAAGCATTTCTCCTCTCAATTCATTCATCCTTAAACAAGTCTAGATGAACCAAACTGAAGGTGGAACTGGAGAGATATGTCGTCCAAACTGGTTTGCTTAAAATCCATCACCTCCACTGCTGGAAAAAACGCAAACAGAACGTTCAAACAAATTCACATCTTGGAGACAGGGAGCCTGTAAGATATTAAATCTGAAATCCTCTGAACTTTTCACTCACATGAGAAAGAACAATCTTCTCAAGCCAAGCCACGCATGCAGACTCTCTCTACCAACAAAATCCTTCGCAATGTTGTCACTTTCTATGTTGTTTGATGCATTATAACTGCTGTCTTTGTTCAGCCACGCTGATGCTGCTGTTCAAGACCTGAGTAAGTTTGCTATCCAGTAGAGATTCAGGCACCAAGTTTGCATTGCCAAACTGATGAGGGAGATCCACATGATCACGAAAGAGCCACGGTTGCTTCGACTGTGCTCTTCAGGACAGGTCAACTTCTTTGCTTCAAAATTTAACATCTCATTTTGTTTTTGCTGCTGCATGAACCTGTGTGTGAGTTTTCCAATTAACAAAATGCAAGCCATAATGGCAAAATATGCATCCGAGGGTCAGTGGAGCTCCAACGAGCTCAACTTAAGGTCCTCCAAATCCCCACTGGAGGGCTGGTGATGGTATAGTTCTACTCCTTCCTTCAAAAAGTGCTATGCGACACCTGGAATCCGATAACTTAATGGTGATCATTGTAAACTCGAGTTTAACAGATCTGAGAAGATGCTGGAGATTCTTCTAAGCTCGACTGAAATCCCCAAACGCTCGACTCAGTTCATTCATCCTTAAACAAGTTCAAACTTAGACCAATTGAAGCTGGAATTGCAGTTGTTGCTCAGTGCTGTTTAAAACCATCGCTCCTCTGTTCAAACAAATTTCCATCTGATAATGACCCATTTCGACAATTCAGCGAGAGATCCTCAGTACAACCCACAACTCAGAACCCCAACTGGAGTCTTCGATCGAGAAAGAGGAAGGGACCCATCTGTATCAATAGCTATGATAAGGCTTCGTTTATCGAAGATCCCACAAGTCTCTTAGTGTTGTCTCTTAAACACAGCCCCAAGATGGCCTGGCTCCAGAAGCACAAAAATTGAAGTTTCCTGACAAACCTAAAAGGCACCAGTTTTGAACCAAGTAACGCAATTGAATCCCAGGTAACTCTAGGGTGTGGTTGCTCGGAGATACTGCAACCCTAGCTGTAGGAGAATCTGAAGCTTAAGCCATTTGAACCAAGTAAAGCCCATTTGAACACCAAGCTTATGCCATTTATCCATGACTATTCCAAGCTGACAGAGATCACGAAAAGCACCCAGACCTTCGAAATACTGCAGCATCTCCAGGGTTTTCGGTTGGAAGTTGTCTTTTGATTGCCAGAGTCTACAAAAAACAACATATCCTGTCAATATCAATCTCCCCCTCCTGATAAATAAGAATCAAGTACCAAGTATAAGCCCTTGTAGAATCTTCTCGATTGCCATGGTTTTCCATAGGCAGTAGAGTCATCTTGATTGCCAGCGTGTACAAAAACAACATATCATGACAATATCAATCTCCTCTAGATAAATAAGAACCCCCCAAAGATTGAATTATATTGTCAGTTGAAAATCAAACCCAGATCTGAGTCTACTTTGAATCACTGGCCAAAAGGCATAAGAGACAGTTATTGGGAGATTTGATATAAAAAGTCAGCAACTTTATCTCGCAGAACACACAAGAGCAACATAAAACCATTAAATATATATGAATCCACCTTCTCCATATCTGGGATCTAATTAAAACAAGAGAGAATTAAGCTTTTCAATAGGAAAAACAGAAAGAACAAAGCTTTAGGAAGGCATGAGGATGAATGAATTGGAATACAAACCAATATGGTATCCATCTCTTCAATCCTGCTTCATATGGATGGATGGATCCGAATTCTCACAACACAAACTCCAAACCATGTTGTTTGTTTGTCTGGCTGCAGATCTCTATGGCTCGAAGGAACATAGACAGAAGGCTGAATTACATGAGAACAAAAGCAAAACCAGTCGAGAACTTTCTCCATATCTATCTTGGACAGGCTTTTGGCCGGAAGGTACAGAGATTGGAAGGATAGATAGGAGAGGGAGGTGAGCAGAAGAATCAAAAGAGACGTGAGAACTTGATTCATTCCAAAATAACTCTCTCGCTTTCTCTCTCCTCGTTTAGCCAGCAAGTCAAGCCAAACCCGGCACCAGCCAGCCCATAACTGCATGACACATGTGTTTAGCCCAATAGCCGGCAACTCAAAGTAGTACAAAATTACAGACCCTTTTAATTCTTACCCTGTCACAGGAAGGACTAACTCCCCATTTTTGACAAGAAAAGGATCTATCTATCTCCTATTCTTCCAAGCTTCAGCCTTGTGGTCTGTGAGCTCACTGACACAACCCCATGATATGGGTCAAAGGGCAGAGGCAGACTCGATCCAATCTAACTGTATCTATAATATATCCTCTCTTTTCACATTAGCCAGTCAGATGGATCTGAACTGATTGACTCCATCCTTTAATCCCTCTGTCTGTAACGATAACGATAAGGGACTTCATTGTCAAAAACACTTTAGTTGGGTGCATTTTGTAATTGACCAGGCCCTGTAAACAAGATTACAATTCCTTCCTCAATCATTTTCCCCCCCATATTCTTCCTCTTCTTCCTCTCTTCTTCTTCTTCCTCAGTTTCCCCTTTCCTTCTCGAAATTCTTTCCTTCTTCTTCTCAATTCCAGCTTGCTACTCAGAAATTGACAAGAAGATCCAGTCTCAATCTCAGGGTATCACAGCCATTTCTTGGCAACCATGGCGACGGCGATGAGAATGGTACAAATTGAGACACGATTTATTTCTGTCAACAATAGGACGTAAGTGATGGAAACGCGATTTCAGGATCTCAGCGATCACATCTCCGCCGTGGGGGTACAGATGACAGTGGCCGGAGAGCAATTTGTTTCTCCACAGAGGCCAAGTCATGCTTCGTTGTTTCTGCGATGGGGAAGCCGCTAAATGGCTGTAGCCTTGCTCGAGATATGCTCCCACCTTGGACGAAATGCGGAGATGGAGGGTGATCAAGCCACTGTTCCCAACCATTCACACAGCGATTGTGGATTCCTTGGAAAATCGTCTCCTCCACAAGGTACCCTAATTACCTACTAAGGCCAGAATTTCCTTCCTTCTCCGGTGAGAATCCTAGGGTCTGGGTTAAGGAGTGTGAACGATTATTTGCTGTGTATTAGATCTCTGATCACGAGATGGTTGAAACTGGTCAGAGGAGTGGCTCTGAAGGTGGAGTGCTGCCTTGGTTTGGGGTGATTTCACGGCTGCTCTATGTGGACGTTTTGGGTGGTACATAGACCCCGCTGATCAAACTGCAGCTACTGGGATGGAGCACTACAAGGCATCGATGGAAGATCACGCTCCCGTTTCTATCATTGGAACAGTGGAGAACGATCTCAGCTCTGTAATAACTGAAAAAACAACAACTCAATGAATTTGGAGAAGAATTCAAGGGCTGAAGCTCAGATATGCTCACAGATACTGGAGACAGAAAACACGATTGCCTCTCTAGAATTGGGCAGGTCAACACTTACCGAGACATGGGAGGTTATACAGCAAGAAAGGCCTGCTTGGCTGCCAAAATTCAGAACTCGGGCAACAAGAGTACTGGTTCAATGTCACAAAACTGGGCAGGACGATAGGAAGCATGTGATGGATACCGATGATCAGGAGGAAGTTACGGCCAAGTTGAAGTTGGCAAAATGCAACACAGATGAAAAGCAAACTTCTTCTGGGCAATGCTAAGATGGAGTGTATTAAGCAAACAACTTACCGAGTGAATGAAAGTAAGCTTGAACTAATGAAAATTGATGTGCAAAGCCTTGGTGATGAGTTGGAGCCATTTTTGTCTGATAAAGCAGGAGAATTGAGAGTATTGGCAGTCACTGTTACAGCAGATTATGAAACTTAAGGATGTTTTTCAAAGCCTGGTTACTGATTGCCTTACTCAATTCAGTAGGGAATTGGTAATGCCACAAAGTTTGATGCGACTTCTATTGAAGCAATTTGTGATCTTCTATGTTTTCGACAGAGGTAAAAGGTTCAGTGTATTCTTGACTGAAGCATATCAAAGTCAAGAGATTGTTGACAAGTGCTCATTGGTCCTTTGGAAGGAAGAGTTTGTAAGTATTGTTGGTTACAGAGGAAAGAAGAGCAACATCCGTACTTATAGTGATTCATCAGATATAGAAACTACTGAAACAATTGAAAGCGACTCTGAGAATACAAACATGGGAGTAGGGATTGGAAAGCTTCATCATCTTGACTTCAAGGTTGAGGCTTATTACTTGAAATTTTACTTTTTAGAAGACCGCGTTTTTTATCAACCAAAAATTTTGCTCCCTCTTTTCAACAAGAGTCGTCCCATCCCACTCCCACCATGGAAACATTAGCTTCTTCTCATGTGGCTATGAACCTCGGTACTTCCACGTTGTTCGGCGGCCATGAGAGTTGCTGCTGCCATTGGTTAGAGTGACATGACTGCTCTAACCCTGAGATCTTCGAAGTTCCTCCCGCTGGAAGGTACGACAAAGATAGTCATAACTCAGAACTTAGACCTTCTGCTGCATAATCTGTGTTCTAAGAGATGCCGGATGCCGTGAGCTAGAAGTCATCCTTTGCTCTTTTTTTTTTTTTTTTTTTTTTTTGTGAAAGTTCAATCCCAAGTCTTGAGTCATTGAGGTATGCGCTTCTATTCTAAATGTTTTCGCATGATGATGTAAGTAGTGCTTTTAGAACTCAGTGTGAGCTTAAGATACGATTCCTTCTTCCTGCTTATGGGTATGCATGCCCTACCATTATCCCAAAGGCCCATTGCATGCAATTTGATTGCATTAGAATTATCTGCCTCTCGGCCATTTTGATTGCAAACAAGCTTTTTGAATGCTGAGAACATGAATATCTGCTAGTTCTTTTTAGCCACGGAATTTTCTTGGTTCTTGTTCTGATGCAGTTTAAACTAGAGGAGATAACTGCCATGATGAAAGATTTTGATGAACTGGGAACCCTTGCCCCAATCGGATTGCACCTGGGTGCATGGGACAAAAGACATGGTCATCCAAGGTGAGTCAGGAGCTCTGATTCGTGGAAACAAGGTATCTAATCATCCATTCTCAATAGTTTGAAGATGTAATTTAGTTTCTGATGATGGCACATTTCTGTTCATTTTCTTTCCTATTAGTAGTCCAGGTTTGCCTTCATATAAGATGGCCATTTAGCTACCATCATGTGATTTTTTGTCCGGTGAACATGGAACGTAAACAGGTACCCCCCCCAGTACTTGCTATTTGTAGGTTTGTTCGCTGTTCCAGTGCTCCTTCATCTATATATGGGGTTTCTTGTCCTGAAACTTTGTCAAGCAAATTGGACAAGGCATTACATCTGTGGCCTCAAGTGCCGATATCGATCATAGAACTCCAACGAAAATTATATGGTTCCTGATGAAATTGTTACTGCGGTAAGAAATGAACTTTAAGTACTTGGTAATAGTTGATGATAGATTGCTGATTATGGGTTTTCCTTTTTCTTTTTGCTGTATATGGTCACAAGCACCATCTCTCGACAGGATGCTTGGACAACATCAGACCATACATCTCCATCTTGTTCAATGTCAGAGTTTACTTAACTCTTCTTTCCAGATTCATAGATATTCGTCAATGGGCTATCCAATCTTGTAATGTTTTAGGTTATAGATGAAGTTCTGATCTATAATTCTATATATGTGTTGGCAGAAGGTTGGATCCTGAGACGGGGTATCCAAACTTGTCAAACCTTGTGCTATTTCTTGATTGTTTTTCTTTCGAGTCGGAGAAGAAAGCGTCGAAAAGATCCAACATACTTGGTAGTGACTCTTGAACTTTTAGTCACATTATAGTGTGAAATGACAATTCCACAGAAGAAACATTGAGGATGCACTTAGATTAAACAAGTGGAAAGAAAACAAGGTGATACCACTATTAGAGAATTAGCTAAATAAAATTTACAAGCAGACAACTTAAGATGATTACAAAATATAAAATTTTGATAGTTGAAAGCTATATTACTTCAGCCATAACATAGGAAAGATAATCCATGAGCATCATCACAGCAACTTTACGATCAGTAGAGTGCCTGAAATTCCACAAAAGAGAAGTCAATAAATTCTACATTGATCTTGTGCAACCGAAAAATTCCTACTTTCCCGGTTTAAAGTGTGTAATGCTTGAATTCCTTGTGATCATACCCACTAGCTAGCTATTTATATAATCCGCTAATTACCGAATGTTACCCCATCTATCAAAACCCACAAATAATCCCCGATAATATCCAATAACCCATAGCACTAATAAACTGACAACACAGCCAAAATATGCAAAAGTTCATGTTTTCATCACATTCCTTGTGTTCCGAGCTTGTCGAGGGATGGATCATCGAAGGCGTGGCGGAAGGCTGATACATTGCTTAGGTTGCTGAATCGTTGCTGCTTTCGTTCTCGGCCTTCTAAACAGGGATTGCTTTGATTCTTAGATTAAGAAAGTGTGAATTTGTTGTAATCTAATACATGTTACATACTTTTTTCTGGGTTCTTTTTTGTTGTAACAAAGATACAGGAATTGATTTTCTGTTGTAACAAAGATACAGGAATTGAATAACTAGATCAAACTGCTTCATACATTGTGAGCAGTAGAAGGTTAAATAATAAATACAAGGCTCTCTCTAAGTAGTAAGTACGATTAACTTCTTTTTCACAGTGAGGATCTCGTGTGTGCAGATGGTTTAACTTAGGTTACAGTGAGGATCTACTTACAACCAACTTGACTAACACAGCAAGGGCTGGCAAGATCCTTCTGCTGAGTTCCCTTGAGTGAACTGTGATTCACAGGGAACAGGCATTCGGGGTAAATGGGTCTATTTCGTCTCGACCAGGTCAAGCAAGATGTGTGTACATTGTACCTTGTAGTTCCAGAAGAGTGACAAGTGAAAGGACTATAAGCAGATTTTACCGAAGACGTGCAGTCCCTAAAACCATTGCCCAATACCAAGTAATCATTTTGCTGGACTCGCGAGAATAAGCGAACTTAACCTGTATGGTCACATTACAGGCCTCGAATTCGGAGTTTCCGTGAAGTACAACCTTAAACTCCTCGATCTGCCAGACACAATGTTTCCAGTACACATTGTCTCCACATCTCCAATCAATCCCTTTGTTTACAATGTGTACATTTTCCAGCCTACATCTTCCACACCTAGACAAACACACTGGCTACGATACTTGAAAATGTAATGGGAAGATATCCATAAAGCTTGAACTCAAAGTAATTAATCACCTGTGACCATAGTGTAGTTTCGATTCACCATCTGCATCCATTCTGGTTGAGCAAAATCCCAAGTTACACATGTTTTTAAAAAAAAATTCTCAAAATACACACGTTATGAAAATAATTCCCAATCTACGCATGTTTGGGCCATCACCGCTGTCGACGAAGACAGTGATTGCATCACTGCAGTACACGGCCGCGGTGAAGGCCTGACCTGCGTCGAAACTTTAAACAAACGTAACTTTGTGCTCGGTTATCCGATCGTAGCGAAATTTTTTTGATTCCGCATAATTTTTCGAGATCTTGCAAGCCGCAAATTGCCGTAGGCGGTTTGGTCCGGCCTTCGTCTCAAAAATATGTCGTTTGCTACCCCGAACGAGCCTTTTTTTGATTTCGTCAAACTTTGAACGACCATAACTTTGTGCTCCACAATCCGAAAATCATGAAATTTTTTTTTTTGATTTCGCATAACTTTTTAAGGACTACAATTTTTAGTAGGAGAGAATTTTCAAAAAATGAATTATTTATGAATATAAGGGGTTTTGTAAATAACTTTACCTTTCTTTTCAGGAATCCAAGTACATTCCGAAAATATGTCTATGATAAACAGGAAGACAGGACGCGTCGGCGGGGATGCTGCTGCGGCGAGGAATAAGAAGGGAAGGAAATGGACGACTGAGGAGTAGGTATGTAGGAATGTTTGTAAAATGGACTAGGGTTTGGGAACGATGGCCGAAAGGCTCGATCGTAATTTTCTGTATTGCTTTGAAGAACTAAAAACAAGAGCTACTCTGTAGTCTGTACAATTCCTATCCAGCTATTTAAATCTCTAAGTGCTAAATCACGGGACAAAGTGTTTTATCTACAAATGAGGGAGTGCCACGGGGCAAAGATGCCATCAACGATGTTATGCTCAGCGGCGTCGTTTCTGTTTAGCAAACTATCCAGGTTCTGTTTCCTTGTTTAACCTGAGATCTTCTTTGCTCCTTCTCAGATGCAGTAGGATTTTGTTCTTCTTCTTCCTTTCCATACGATTCCATTGTTTGATCTTGATAATTTGACAGCCCCCAACAAGCTGGCGAGTGGATATCATGCACTCTCAGCTTGTGTTGGAAATTTGGTTGAACTGAACTAACCAAGTCAAACTGGTTTTGGGTTGAACCGACCAACCGGTTTGTGATTAGACCGAACGAACCAATATTCTAATTTCATGAAGGGACACATCCCTTTGGGTTAGTGGAGGTTACATTATTTTATGGATAAGGACGACCTTATGGATAGAGGCAACCCTTCATATAGATAAAGACAACCTTTCACATGGATAAAGGCAACCTTTCGTATGGATAAAGGCAACCGTTCATGAAACAATGCATGGATTCGGCCCCTATAAATATATGTGTGGGGTGGGTGGTGCCATATACCATCAAACAGATTCTTTTTCTTTCTTCCAAAAATTTCTAAGTATGCTTTAGAGTTCTTGAGCCTAGAACCTAAAGTGGTGATAGTTTTATCCTCGGGAGAAATTTCCTGTAACCCAAGGCTTTGTAGAGGGTGGAAATATTCTTTTCGGAAAGTGAACGTAGTTCATGACTCTATCATAATCCTAGTCACCAGTCTCGTTGGCTCGAACCGCTCTTTGCAAGAAATCGGTTCCGGTCTATGGAATTGTGAGAATTTTTGATAATGGGTATTTCATCTATGGTAGTAGAAGATGGGTGTTCTTCGTACTAGTCTCATGGTGTATTCCATATCCGGAAGGTAACTTAGAAGAGGGATGATTCGAAGATTAGGAAGAAGGAGAATGATTCGTAAAATGGAGTAATAGAAGAATGAAATTTGCCTTTGGATAGGTGAAATACTCAATGGTAAATTTGTCTAATTCTCTATTCGACGTTTACGAAGTGCTGGACAAATATGGATTTGTCTAGTGGTTTGATGGTGTGGTTTTGTCTAAGTGGTTTATGTTAAACCAAGGAGACAAAATTGTATATACAATGTTTGATGATTCTAGCAATAGAGTTGTTGTGTTTGTATGTAGATGACATATTTATCTTTGGGACCAATCAAAGATAAGTGATTTTGTCTAGGGTTTATGTTATTTAAACCAAGGTGACAAAATGTATATAGAATTTATGATGATTCTGGTAAGGAGTCATCGTACATTTGTATGTATATGACATGCTTGTCTTTGGGACCAATAAAAGATAAGTGAACTTTTGATAAAAATTTGTTATTTAAATTCTCCATGTGGGGACATGGGGGAGGTAAATGTGATTCTGTCTATTGAATCAAGCAGTGCAACAAATAATATTCTTTCTCTCAATTTTTCTGCATTGAGAAGGTACACGTAAAGAAATTCCTTAGTGGAAATTGTTGTGGGTTCGATACGACAATGGATCCACAAGTATGGAACTTATGGTTAATACTGGCCAACCAGTTTTACAACTGGAGTATTCCATGTTAAATGAGTTTGATGTATGCATGACTTGCATGATACTAGATATCACATATGCGATAGAACAATTAAGTCGGTACATGATGAATCATAGTGCTCATCATTTGAAATGAAGTGAGGCGTGTACTAAGATATCTCAAAGGCACATTGTATTGAGTTATAGTGGCTTTCCATCCATTTTTGGAAGGATTTGTTGATGTTAGTTGGATTTCTCATGTTAAAGGTGATACTTCAACATTGAGATGGGTCCTCTTGCTTGGGGGAGGTGCCGTTATTTGGGCCTCTAGAAAGCAAACTTGCATCACTAGTTCCACTATGGAGTCAAAGTTTGTGGCCTTGATTTCTCTTAGAGAAAAGGCATTATTGTTGAGATGTTTGGTTTATGGAATATATTTATGGTCTAAACCAATCTCACTTATTGTTATTTTTTGTGATAGTAATGCTAATTTGGCTGAGGCATATAGTCAAGTGAAAATGACAAGTACGGTCATGTGGGAGTGAGGCACGGTAAAATCTATGAATTGATCATTCATATAGTTGTGTCTAGACAATTTGACTAGACTCGAGATAATCTGGTTGATCATTTGACGAAATGTTAACTAGTGACTGGGTGATAAAGTCTGTGAAAGTGATGGGTTTAAAGTCCATATAATTTCTGATCATGGGATACCCAATTCCCCTCTAATACAACGTTAGAGGCTGAATTCAATGTAGAAAGCTCATTCTCATAAATTGAAGCACACAATTTGTCATCCCGAGGTATGTGCTTGTTATCCTGCATGAGAGAAGAGGATGAAGTTTAAAACTTCTTAATTGAATCTTTGAAAAAGTGTATTATGTGGGTACACGAATAAGAGATTCAACCTACGTAAGTATGAAGTGTAGCCGCTTCAAGAAACCCGGACTTTGGTTTCGTGTGCGCTTATGAGAAGGATTGGACACATAGCGGGTAATAGTGTCAAGGCGCTTAAAAGTTTTGAAAACTTAAGTGTATATCATCTTCGAATATTCATATGAGTCAATGGGTTCAATCGTTACCGACACCCTTTGTATTCAAATATTTGTCAAGTGTAATATACTAAGGTGAAAATTCAATTGTCACGACATTTTCATTTATGCTTAAGTTTTGTTGGAAGAATGTTACGATTTTAGTGAATTCTATGAATACACTAAAATGGGGGAGGAATGTTGGAAATTTGGTTGAACCGGACTAACCAAGTCAAACCGGTTTTGGGTTGGACCGACCAATCGGTTTGTGATTAGACCGACCGAACCAATATTCTAATTTCATGAAGGGACACATCCCTTTGGGTTAGTGGAGGTTGCATTATTTTATGGATAAGGACGACCTTATGGATAGAGACAACCTTAAAGATAGAGACAACCCTTCATATAGAGAAAGGCAACCTTTCATATGGATAAAGACAACCTTTCGTATGGATAAAGGAAACCGTTCATGAAACAATGCATGGACTCGGCCCCTATAAATATATGTGTGGGGTGGGTGGTGCCATATACCATCAAACATATTCTTCTCCTTTCTTCCAAAAATTTCTAAGTATGCTTTAGAGTTCGTGAGCCTAGAACCTAAAGTGGTGATAGTTTTATCCTCGGGAGAAATTTTGATATGCCTCAACCCTCGAAGCTAAGGAATCAGAATGCGCCAAACCCTCCAAACGCCACTCTTGGAGATGGAATTTGAAATTGACGAGGAAGAAGAAGGAATCGATGAATGGAAGGTGCAACTTCAACACCGGCTGGGGAAGAGGCTCGATCAAATTGAGTGCAACTCGTCCATGATTTATGGGGACAATCAATCGATGCCGAGCTCGCTCGTTGATGGATTTAATTCCACACAACAAGGACAAATCAAAGAACTAGAACTCAATGACTAGGGTTCTTATTAAACTTTAAAAACTGAAAAACTTACAACGCAAACAACGAGTATTTATATAACTAGCTAATAGAACTCGCTTAACAACTTCCTTATCCTACTGGAACTTGACAAAACACGGCTTAAACAGAAAAGGATTTAAACTTTAACTCAAACAAGGAAACAATGAAACAATTCTGCCTTCAGCTCTAAATCACCAAACAACCTTTGATCCCATCTTCGAGGCCTTCGATGGACGACTTCTAGATATGAATAAATCACCCAATGCCCTTCCTTTGTAGATGAAAATGCATATTTTAATGTGGTATCGAGCCCTTGATTCGATTCTCAGCCCTCTGCCTGGAACGGAACTCTAAAGTGACCTTCCTGAACATGCCTCCAGACTTGGTCAAATTCTGGAAAACTGCCAGTTGTGAGATAGCTACTTTGAGTCCGTGGGAAGCAGCCTTAATGACGTTGTATGAATCTGAAACCCATACCATCTTGTTCAGGAAGTCTTCAAGATCAAAACGACGCCCTAAACTCCCATTTATATCAACCCAATTTGAAGAACCGAGCTCCCAAAGTGGGCTACCTGAACACGTCAATACACTTAGCCAAAATTCCAGATTGTTCAAATGAGTTGGGCTAGCTTCATGGGCAAGTAATTCGAACTTGGTAATGACGCAATTCTGGGTTGTATCAGGATCTCCCTCTTCAAAAAGCTTTGCCCTCAAAGCTGGTTCTTTCTTCTTCTCGAAATCGGTACAGAACTTAATAAAAATCGGGTCGAAAGATGGCATCCCAAACTCCATTTTCTGCAATTCGGAAACAGTGTTCTTGAGCAACTGGATTGGGTCTTTTCGATTCGGGTCTTGCCAACCCAATTCACTACTTCCACGAGGTTGGCCACACCCCCAATCGACGTTCTGAACTAACTTCGGCTCCCGACTCGTCACCGTTCGTGGTGACCGCGCTCCTCGCCCATTCTCGCCAACGAAAACCTTAAAATTCGCATTCCCTTGAAAATGCAATCCGAAATTGGGGTTTTTAATCTCAAGGATTCCCGCTCCAATTCGTGCCTTCCCTCAGCTTCCTGGGGCATCTCTAAGTAGTTCCACAGTGCCGGTTGACGTCGAATCACTCCCAACCATTCCACCCCATTCAACGGTTTTGCCTCCTTGTTCTTGCAAGTTTAGAGGGAGATGGAATCGAATTGATTCTTGAAATTGGAGTACGTTCGAATCGAACCTGCCATTGGAGAAGCTTCCCGAGTTCATGGGGAACGTTTTGGCGGCGTTGGCGAAGCTCGGCATGGTGCTAGTTGCCCCGACCAATAGCCCCTCTCTCCTGCCCTATTCCGCCGCCGAGAAGTAGAGCTCCCTTTCCTCTGTCCGACGAGGAGACGTCCCGTGCACCTGGGCGGTGAGCATCAGCTTACGAATCATAACTCCGGCGTCACTACGATTCACAGACTGCACACCAAGGACCTCGTCCTTTTCTTTGCTCCGACCCACCACCAATTGTTGTTGATCGGCTCTGACCTCAGCTGGCGTCAACGGCTTGAGCAGAAACTTGCGAGTGTTGTTTGTAAATCGGTATGAGTTCGTCCTGCTGTCATGTACGACTCCATGATCGTATTGCCAAGGAAGTCCTATCAGTAGATGCATGGCTTGCATCGGAGCCACGTCAAACCATAACTCGTCCTCATATTCGCCAATGTTGAAGCGAACCTTTGCCTGCTTGTTCACCTTGAGCGTACTGTACTCGTTGAGCCAAATGTAGGTTTTACGGTTGGGAGTGCCTGATTGTGGTGAGTCCGAGTCTTTTAACGGCATCAAGACTGATGACGTTCGTGCAGCTGCCTCCGTCAATTACAACGGATAGCAATTTCCCACCAATTGTGTAACGGGAGTGAAATAGATTGTCCCGCTGCTCTTCGTCAGCGAGGGAGTCCAGCGTAAGGACCCTTCGATTCACGCCGAAAAACTTCTTAGCAGAAGGTGGAACATCGGCCTCAATTGCTTCGTTTACTTCAGGGTCAGATTCAACCTTGTCATCGCGGGGCTCTTCTTCGTCGTCTTCGGAGACATACTCCCCATTGCAAAGCACCAAAGCCCTTTTATTCGTACATTGATTGGCCTTGTGGCCTCTGCCGAAACATTTAAAGCACTGAATGTTGCTTGTTGATCCTCCCGGCTTGTCGTGCGTGATTGGAGCAGTCGTTCGAGGTGCCAATTTGACTGATTCTATTATGGACTGCTCTGAATTAGGTACAGGGGTCTGCTCTGGAACCAGTTTTGGAGTAGAATATCTCTTTCCTGCACTTGCCCGATGTTGCCTTTCCACTTTAATGGCAAGATGCACAACTTCCTCAAGTTCCACGAACTGTCGAAGCTCGATCTCATTTCAATGTCTCGATTGAGGCCATGGAGGAACCGAGAAATCGTTGCCTCCCTGTCCTCGTGAACATTGGCACTCAACATTAACAGCTCGAGCTCCTTAAAATACTCATCCACGGAGCGAGTTCCATGTCGAATGCCCTGCAAAGCATCGAACAACTCCCGCTGATAATACCCTACGACGAATCTTTCCCTCATCAAGCTTCGCAGCTCGTCCCAGGTGGTTATCGGAGGCTGCAAATTTTGTCTCCTTCGTAACTGAGTCTTTTCCCACCACATCGCCGCATAATCCGTAAACTCTACGTCGCAAGCTGTACCTTCTGTTCCTCTGTATAGTTGCCGCATTGAAAGCACAGTAACATTTTTCTCTCCCAATCAAGGTAATTCATAGCATTGTTGGAGCTGGTGAATGAGGGAATCGACAATTGTATTCCTGTTAATTCTGCCGCCGTTCCATACCCTGTTTCAGGGCGTCGCCACTCATCCTCGCGAAACGCGTGCTGCCTAGCTCGTCGCTCTGATTCGGCGGCAACCAGTCGCCGTTCCAAATTATGTATCCTTACATCGAGCTTCTGATTTGCTCCAGGTTGTCCTTGCTTGTTTGGAGTCGCCGTTAAAGTTTATTGGGTGTCGTTGGAGTGCCCTGTTGTGCTGGTGGAGACAGAGCATCCAATGGCCGATTGATTTGGTCGAATTGAGTCTGGAATGTGAGGTTGAGATGGGCGGTAAGGGTCTGCAGTAGTTCCGTCATGTTGATCTGCTGTTCAGCCATCTCAGGTTCGTCGCCCACCACGGTTTCCTTCTCCGGAACGGATTCTGCCGCTAGCAGTTGCCCTGGGTTGGAGAGTTCGAGAGCAACCTCCTGCTTCTTCTTCTTACCCTCCTGTCCCGCCACCAGAATAGCAGTAGGATCACACTCCACAGGACTCTTCGATCTGGTCCACCCGCTCGCGTCGCCTTTCGTCTACGAACTCGTCGTCTCTGCCACCGTGGGAGATCGTCACACGGCCAACTGAGTTGAACCGGGCTCAAGATACCACTTGATACACCTCGACCCTCGAAGCTAAGGAATCAGAATGCGCCAAACCCTCAAACACCACTCTTGGAGATGGAATTTGAAATTGACGAGGAAGAAGAAGGAATCGATGAATGGAAGGTGCAACTTCAACACCGGCTGGGGAAGAGGCTCGATCCAATTGAGTGCAACTCGTCCACGATTAGTGGGGACAATCAATTGATGCTGAGCTCGCTCGTTGATGGATTTAATTCCACACAACAAGGACAAATCAAAGAGCTAGAACTCAATGACTTGGGATCTTATTAAACTTCAAAAACTGAAAAACTTACAACGCAAACAACGTGTATTTATATAGCTAGCTAGTAGAACTCGCCTAACAACTTCCTTATCCTACTGGAACTTGACAAAACATGGCTTAAACAAAAAAGGAATTAAAGTTCAACTCAAACAAGGAAACAATGAAACAATTCCGCCTTCAGCTCCAAGTCACCAAACAACCTTTGATCCCATTTTCGAGTCCTTCGATGGAAGACTTCTAGATATGAAAAAATCACCTAATGACCTTCCTTTGCAGATGAAAATGCATATTTTCATGTGGTATCGAGCCCCTGACTCGATTCTCAGTCCTATGCCCGGAATGGAATTCCAAAGTGACCTTCCTGAACATGCCAGTTGTGAGATAGCTACTTTGAGCCCGTGGGAAGCAGCCTTAATGACGTCGTATGAATCTGAAACCCATACCATCTTGTTCAGGAAGTCTTCATGATCAAAACGACGCCCTAAAATCCCATTTATATCAACCCAATTGGAAGAACCGAGCTCCCAAAGTCGGCTACCTGAACACGTCAATACACTTAGCCAAAATTCCAGATTGTTCAAATGAGTTGGCCTAGCTTCGTGGGCAAGTAATTCGAGGTTGGTAATGACACAATTTTGGTTTGTATCAAATTTCCTGTAACCCAAGGCTTTGTAGAGGGTGGAAATATTCTTTTCGGAAAGTGAACGTAGTTCACAACTCTATTATAATCCTAGTCACTAGTCTCGGGCTATCGTACCTGTACCCTCGTCCCTAAAAGTCCCAACAGCCTGAACAGAATCCAATGGAATCGATGAGTACTTAGTACCTTTGTGAATATGCCTGCTAGGTTGCGATCTGTAGGTACTTAGTGAAAAGAGATTAATCCAGATTTCACTCGATCTCGAATCACATGGCAGTCAATCTCTATGTGTTTGGTTCTCTCATGAAAAATTGGATTTTATGCCATGTGAATCGTGGACTTGTTGTCGCAGTAGATGTGAATAGGATCTTCATGCTGTATATGAAAATCTGCAAGTAATTGTTCAATCCACTGACCTCACAAGATAGCTGAGACAATGCCCTGTACTCAGCTTCAGAAGATGATTTTGACACTGTCCCCTGCTTCTTCGCTTTCCAGGTGACCAGTGAGCTCCCTATGAATGTTCAATATCCCGTAATTGATCGCCTTGTGTCTGTACATGCACCCCAATCAGAGTCACCGTAACCAGATATGTTAATATCAGTACTAGATGAGAAAAACAAACCATGTCCAAGAGCCTGCTTCATGTATCTTAGAATTCTCC